AGGCTGAAACTCAGCCTCAGTCCTATTTTTCCTGCCCGGTGTCAGCCCTGCGGGTCCTTCTCCTCCAATCCTAAGCTGTACTCTGATTAACTTGGCATCAATTGCAGGGTGCAACTTAACCTGCACCCCATTATCAGTAACATCAACACCAGCTCGCAGACACATGTGCTGGAGCAAGGAACTATGACCCAAAGCAGCAGAACAGCTATCAGAATGAGCCATGTCATAGATGCTATCCTGAAGAATGATGGGAAGCCCCACTTTCTTCCCGGTCATGATCGTGTAGATCAGTACAGCCCTCATCAGAATTACCTTCGCCTAGTTGGAGGAAGGCATAACATTAGAGACCACAAAATGGAACCAGACCCTGGCCTCTCCATTCAGTTGCCTCAACCAAAGCAACTTAGGATTCACCTCATCCCTTGTCATCTTCCATTTTTTATTTGGCTTTGCAATGGTGTGCAACACAGGCTCAGCTGCTCCCAACTTGGTCCAACTCGGTCCAACTCTCAAAATCTGGGCTGCTTCGCCTTGGAAGAATGTCTACCTTTTGCCAATTCCTCTTGAACTCACAACTTTGGTTCTGGACGTAGTCACAATGTCGGATTTTCAAAAGCTTCTGAATAGTGTGGGCATCATATTTCACTTTCTTCCCTCTCACTCAACTAACAAAATGCCTTTGGCCACCTTCATCTTCATTGTAGGCATTAGCATAGAATTCCCTGCATATGGCCTGGCTTCTGTCGTCCAGAATGTTACCAAAAGTCTCCCAATCCCTCTTCCTCAGCTGGGACTGAAATTCTGGATACTCATCTTTGTCCAGGACAAATTTCCTTTCCCGGACAAAGGGTCTAGAAGAGGTCTTGGTGTTGAACCTGACCTCATGAGCAGACTCTTCCACAGTCGGGTATCAAAAGCAAGTAGAGGTGGTGTAGGCTCTGATGCCTGAGGCACCCTAGACCTCTTCTTGCCAGTTTTCTTTGGTGGTGGGGTAGACATGATCCTGAAATATCAAAGAATAAGTCAGTATATCTTTCAAAACATTTGAGAGCTCATGGATCCAATTCCCAGATTTAATTTTGAAGAAGTGGTTCAATTATATCCAAAATCATGCAAGTAAACACCCCCACACAATGCCAAACTAGCAGGCTAAATAATGCATGCAGCAGGGCCTGGGCGCTAAAATGTTCACACTGAGCGTTTTAGCGTCCTAGCCTTATGCATGTATTAAAATGGTCCAGCGCTAAAACGTGGAGTGACCAGCGTTTTAGCGCCCTGGCTTTTATGGGTCAGGCATTCTGTCGAACACCTTGTGTGTGTGTGCATATTGCATAGTGTGCAAAATAAATGGGGATACCCCTCATCCCCCAAAAATGACACAAAAACCAGAATTGCCCATCATTATGCTCATAAAATAGGAACAAAATTATCAATGCATGATGTAAAACATAACTTAGAATCAAAAGCATGTACCACCTATGATTCTATGATTCTAGGGAGATGACAAATATAATGAGAACTTAAGCATATAATGAGTAAGGGAGGAGGTGAATATGGCATACCTTGGTGATGATGAGATAAAATGAACTCAGACGAGAGGAAGAGAGAGTGCAAACTTGATTAGGAGGAAATGAGGAAGATGAATGTAAAAGTGAGGGAATGAGGGAAAAGAACCGTGTAAATCAAATAAGTGACATCGCGCTAAAATGTTTAATCCAAACGTTTTAGCGCCCAGGACCAGAAAATGTGCACACGGCAGTGTGCAGCACCGCGCTAAAACGGTCAACAAGTACGTTTTAGCGCGCTGGGCCAGAGTGCTTGCAATCTGATGCATTGGGGAGCGCTAAAACGGTCTGTCAGAACGTTTTAATGCTCTAGGCTAGAGTTTTGCACTGTGATGTAACTCTAGACCGCTAAAACGTCCAGAAAGGAAGTTTTAGCGCCCAACACTTGTCAAAATTTTTTTTTCACAATTTTCTAAAAACTTATCCTCCTCTTTTTTTTATATTTACTTAACACTAATTATTACATACCTGATATAGTGGGTTGCCTCCCACTCAGCGCGTGTTTAACGTCACGAGCCTGACGGTTCTTATTCTAGCTTACCTCCAACAGAGCAACTGTAATAAGTTGCCTGTCCACTGCACTTCCAATGTATAATTTCAACCTCTGACCGTTCATAGTAAAACTTCGGTCAGAGTCCCAAGAACAAATTTCCACCGCTCCATAAGACTTCATGTCCTTAACCATAAATGGTGCAGTCCATCTGGACTTTAACTTTCCTGGAAACAGTTTCAACCTGGAGTTGAATAGCAGAACCTGATCGCCCACCTTGAAATCCCTGGGTGTGATCTTCCTGTCATGCCATAGCTTGGTTTTTTCCTTGTATAGACTTGCACTTTCATAGGCAGAAAGACAAAATTCATCCAGTTCATCCAATTGCAGTAGCCTTTTCTCACCTGCTGCTTTTGAATCAAAGTTTAAAAAATTAACAGCCCACAATGCTCTATGCTCCAATCCCACAGTCAAGTGACATGCTTTTCCAAACAACAACTGAAATGGAGACATTCCAATAGGAGTCTTGAATGCTGTCCGATACGCCCACAAAGTGTCATCAAGTTTCTTGGACCATTGAGTCCTAGCACTTCCAACAGTCTTTTCCAGTATTCGTTTAAGTTTCCTATTAGAAATTTCAACCTGACCACAAGTCTGTGGATGGTACGGAGTACTTATCTTGTGCCTGACTCCATATTTTGCAAGGACAACCTCTACCAACCTGTTGTCAAAATATGTTCCCCATCACTGATTATGGCTCTCGGCACTCCAAATCTCACAAAGATGTTCTTCTTCAGAAATGCAATCACAACCCGAGAATCATTAGTCTGTGTGGCTATGGCTTCGACCCATTTCAACACATAATCCACTGCCACCAGGATATACTTGTTTGAGTAGGAAGAGGGAAGAGGTCCCTTGAAGTCCATACCCCAAACGTCAAAGATCTCCACCTCCAGTATATTATTCAAAGGCATTTCATGTCTCCTGGAGATGTTACCAGTCCTCTGACAGTTGTCACATGCTTCCACATATTTTCTGGCATCCTTGTACAATGTGGGCCAATAGAAACCACTCATCAAAACTTTGGCTGTTGTTCTTTCACGTGCAAAGTGTCCACCATAAGCTGAACCATGACAGTGCCATAAAACATTCATTTGCTCCTCCTCTGGAATGCATCTTCTGATTACTCCATCTGAACATCTATAGAAGAGGTATGGTTCATCCCAGATGTATCTCCTCACATCATGCAGAAATTTCTTCCTCTACTTCCAGGTGAAATCCTTTGGCATGGCTCCAGCAACCTTGTAATTAGCAAAATCAGCAAACCATGGTGGAGTGTTAATAGTCAAGACTTGATCCTGCACCAACTTTGTGCTTATGGCCAGTATTTACTCATTAGGAAACTCCTCCTTGATCACCACTTTCGGACCCTCTTGTAGGTTTATCTCTGTGATCCTGGATAAGTGATCAGCCACCAAGTTTTCAACTCCCTTTTTATCTTTTATCTCTACTTCAAACTCTTGCAAAAGTAACTTCCATCAGAGTAACCTGGGCTTAGCATCCTGCTTTGTTAACAAATACTTTAAAGCTGCATGGTCAGTGTAAACAATAAACTTTGACCCTAGCAGATATGACCTGAATTTGTCAAATGCATACACAATTGCCAATAACTCTTTTTCTGTAGTAGCATAATTCTTGTGCCTCATTAAGAATTTTACTGGCATAGTAAATGACATGCAATAATTTGTCCTTCCTTTGGCCTAGCACTAACCCCACAGCATAATCACTAGCATCACACATCAGTTCAAAAGGTAATGAAAAATCAGGTGCCATGATTATTGGTGCAGTGATTAACTATTCTTTCAAAATATGAAATGCATGCAAACAGTCATCAGTAAACAAAAATTCTTGATCCTTCCCTAACAACTTACATATTGGTTTTGCAATTTTGGAAAACTTTTTTATGAAACGACGATAAAACCCTGCATGACCTAGAAAACTTCTCACACCTTTAACATTTATGGGAGGGGGTAGTTTCTCAATCACAGAGATTTTGGCCTTATCTACTTCAATCCCTCTGGTGGACACTTTGTGTCCCAAAACAATACCCTCTGTCACCATAAAGTGACATTTCTCCCAGTTCAACGCAAGATTACAAACTTGACATCTTTTTAAAACATTATCCAGGTTGTCTAAACATGCATCAAAAGTAGGACCAAATACAGAAAAATCATCCATGAAAATCTCAATGCATCTTTCTACCATGTCAGAGAATATGGAAAGTATGCACCTTTGAAAAGTTGCTGGTGCATTGCATAGGCCAAAAAGCATCCTCCGGTATGCAAAGATTCCATAGGGGCAAGTGAATACAGTCTTCTCCTGATCTTCCGGAGCCACAGCTATCTGGTTGTAGCCTGAGTATCCGTCTAAGAAAAAGTAGAAGGTATGTCCTGCCAATCTCTCCAGCATTTGGTCTAGGAATGGAATAGGGAAATGGTCCTTCCTGGTTGCTTTGTTGAGTCTTCGGTAGTCAATGCACATTCTCCAGTCAGTGACTGTTCTTGTAGGGATCAGTTCATTGTTCTCATTCCTCACAACAGTCATCCCTCCTTTCTTAGGCACTGTCTGAACTGGACTCACCCAAGCACTATCTGAAATAGGATAAATCATCCCAGCATCAAGCAACTTCACCACCTCTTTCCTCACTACCTCCTTCATAGTGGGATTCAGTCTTCTCTGTGGTTGTCTCACTGGTTTGACTTCCTCTTCCATCAATATCTTATGAGTGCAGAAGGAAGGGTTGATACCCTTAAGATCTGAAAATGACCAGCCCATGGCTGTCTTATTCTTCTTGAGCACCTCAACCAGCTTCACTTCCTCCCTTTCAGACAGCAATGTATTGATAATGGCTGGGTATGTTTGATCATCCCCAAGGAACACATACTTCAGATTTGAAGGTAGTTTTTCAGTTCCACCTTAGGTGCTCCCTCAGGAATGTCATCAACCTTCTTTTCCAACTCTTCAACCACCGGTTCCTCCTGATAATACTCCCCACTAGTCTCTTCCTTGAATTTGTCCTCCTCAAATGACAAGTCTTCTTCTCCTGTCACTTCTTCCACAACCTCCTGTATGATATCAATTCTGAAACAATCCTCCACATCAACAGGATGTTTGATGGCTTCAAACACATCAATTGTAAATGTCTCTTCATTCACCCTTAGCATCAACTTCCCTTGTTCAACATCAATCAGGGATCTAGCAGTTGCTAAGAATGGCCTCCCTAGAAGTAGAGGGCTTTCAGTATCTTCTTCTTCCATATCAAGTATCACAAAGTCCACAGGAAAAATGAACTTATCTACCTTGACAAGAACATCTTCTACCACTCCTTCTGGTCTCTTGATGGATCTATCTGCTAGATACAGAATAACATTTGTATCCTTCAACTTGTTAATTCCCAAAGCTCTATAGACAGACAATGGCATCAGATTTAAGCTGGCCCCCAAATCACAAAGTGCCTTCCCTACTTCCACATCTCCAATGGCAATAGGAATGCTAAAACTTCCTGGGACTTTTAACATTGGAGGAAGCTTCTTCTGAATCAGGGCACTGCATTCTTCTTTTAATGCCACAGTCTCACCTTCCTTCAGCTTCCTCTTCTTAGACAGAAGATCCTTCATGAATTTTGCATAGTGTGGCATGTTCTCCAAGGCTTCAGCAAAAGGAATGTTGATCTGCAACTTCTTGAAAATATCCAGAAACCTTGCATAATGCTGCTTCTGAATTTCCTACTTCAACCGATGAGGATAAGGAACTTTGGCATATGGAGATAGGTTAATTGGCTGGTCCTGCTTGTCATCCATCTTCTTCTTCTCCCACTTCATTAACTTATTGGGTGAAGAACTCTTTTCAACCACTACCTCTTCTTCTTTCTTATCTTCCTCAACTTTTTCTTTTCCATCATTTTCAGCTACAACATCTTCAACAACAACTTCCTCCTCATCTTTCTTCTCTTCCATTTTCTTGCTGACCGGTTGAAGCACAAGCCCACTTCTTGTAATGATGGACTTGCAGTGCTCCTTTGGATTCACCATGGTATCACCAGGAACTTTTCCTGTGACCTCTCAGATATCTGTCTAGACAACTAGCCAATTTGTGTTTCCAAATTCCGGATAGATGCTTCCTGGTTCCTGAATGCTGTCTTTGTCTCTTGCATGAAAGCAGAAGTTTCTTCTCTGCAGGAATTTGACCCCTGAATATACTCTTGAGTAGTATTTGATAACTGGGCAAAAGCTTTCTCCCATGCAGAGGTATCACCTTGTTGTGATGAGTGCGTTGGAGGAGGATGCAGTGGAGGATTCAACTGATGATTAGAACTGTAACTGAACCCTGGGTGTTGATTCTTATTCTTCCATAGTAGAACATAAACATTTCGCCCCTGGTTGTTATAGTTCCTCTGATCATACCATACCCCATTCACTTCTGCCTGTTCAGCAGGTCCCCCACAATCACAATCATCTGTAACATGGCGTTTCCCACAACCGGCACACACAGAATTAGTGTCCACAGAAGCAACCTTCTGAGAAGATAGCTGCTTAGTGAGAGCATCCAGTTGTTGTTGTTGTTGTTTCTGCATTTGCATCATCTGATCATTCTTGGCTAACAAAGCATCATAGCCATCAAGTTTTATAATTCCCATTCTTCTGTCATTCACTGGAGCATTGTCAAACTCCTGAGATGCTAAGGACTCAAATATATCAAGGGCTTCTTGAGGAGTCTTGGTTGTCAATGAACCACCTGCTGTGGCATTCACCAATGTCCTAGTGTTGGTTGTCAACCCTTGGATGAATATTGCTGCCTGATTCCACACTTCTATCCCATGTTGTGGACATTTCCTCAAGAGTGTCTTGAACCTTTTCCAAGCCTCATAGATAGACTCTGACTCTTTTTTCTTGAACCCTGTAATCTCATCCTTCAACTTTGCCCTCTTGGATGGTGAAAAGAACCTGCCAAGAACTTGGTCTGC